CCAAAGAAGATGACATACTGGTGGGACGATGATGATAGCTCCAAAGAGATCTGTATCTGGGTGCAAAGTTTAAAACTCCCTGCTTATCAGCTAGTGAACAGGATTTATTTAACAGTGGGGTTTGGTGAATATCACAGCAATGGAATCTTGAGAAATTATTTAAATGGAAGAAGAGACGCAAGCACTAGCATTGTGATTTACTTGGAGGAGTAAATGAATTCAGACAGTATTCGTGTCTACAATTTATTGCATTTGTAAAATGTGACAACTGTGCAAGACTCTTGGAAATTGCAGCACTTGATCTTATTGGTCATATATTCAGGTTTTCAAAAAAGAATCATATATCTCCATGAGGTCTATATGCAAAACCGTTGTTTGCTTTCATTATAGAAAATTAAATTAAGCCTGTCTTCTTAAGAAGCTGTTATGACAAATTTCTCTGAAATATTTCAATAGTTGCTACACTGTGCCTATCTTTATAGTGTATTTTATTTATTCAATTCTTCTTTATTTGTTAACAGTACTTAAAACTTCCTTTCAGCACAAGTTGAAAAGTCGGTGTATCAAATGTTAAAAATCAAAATTACAAGAACAAAATCACAACATCTTTATTTAGAAGGTGCAAAACCAATAAAATAGTAAAAACTTTACAGTGATTTTGATTTCTGCATGTCTACTGAAAAGCCCACTATAATAGTTTATATCTATCATTGGCACTGAATAGTATTGCTGTACATTACTTGTATGGTTCCCATGCTCTTTAGAGAGAAAGGCATTTTCATTCCTCTCTAGTTAGCCAAGTCAAGTGGCCAAAAAGAAGTGAAATGTCATATGCTTGTCTCTAGCTCAAACTGCAATTGTTACACTTGCCTGCTCTTGCATGAGGGTCCTGGTAACAAAGCATGTGCAATTTGGTCAAAAGGCATGCTGTTTTGGGGTTCATTTTTGGCAAACCCCTCATTCTGTTTACCAGGAAGTTACTCGAATCGGGAGGTGGGTTTCCATTTTCATTCGGCAAAGATTTAGCCCATTGGCTACAATGGGAAACTTTAAAGGCTCAATCCTCAGTAATTTTAAAGCCTATCTGCATGAAACTTACTTCAGTTTTTGACCCCATTTACAACTGCAGGCCTCCCAAGTTTCAAAACAATTCACCAATCTCCTGATTTTTTTAGAGTTATTTTAAGTTTTTACCATAACATTTTTTAAAATTAGACAATCTGCAAGACAGGGTTCTGGGAATTATAGTTGCTGTTTGTGTCCATTCTCAGCCAATCAGAGCATGAACACAACCAGAGAGAGAGAAAAACTTTAACTCCCATCATGCTCTGAGAGGAACTTGGAGATTTTTCAGTGTCTGTCCCATACAGGTGCTGCTGGGAAAGTAAGTTCTGAGCAGGGCCCTCTCTGGAGGAGGAGCCTAGGGAATTTTTTTGCTGTCGGGGAGGGAGAAAAGACGGTGCAGGATCTTCTCCAGGAATCCTGTGGTAGACCTCTGGCTCAGGTATAATGCAGACCTAACTCTATCCTCTCCAGCAGTTGATAACTCTGGCTCTCTTGATCCATTTTGCCCAGCTTTTTGGTTCCCTCCTCCTCATTCTGTTTTCAGGGGATAACATGAAATGGACCACCAAATATTACAAATCACTTTCAGTCAGACTCATCCAGGCCCAAGCCTACTGGTAGCTTGGTGCTAGAAAATAGGGAATTCATTACAATGTAGACAAATCATGATTTAGTTTGTAACTGTAAGGTATGTTTGCTACAGGATTTGGTGGCAGAGGCTATGTAACACAGGCCAACACACATTTTGTTGACTCAAATGTTAGGCCTCTTTCTGAGCATATTTAACCTTCCAAATCCAAAATGGCATGGTTTCCCCCTATTAGCTCTAGTTTCTGAAATACAGAACGTACGTCATATACCAGTCACTAACTGATCACCCGTAGAAAACCATAATAACCATATCTATGCAAATAGAGCTGATGTGGTCTATCCAATGCCATTTCCTGACTCAGTGCTCCAAATAACACCAGAAATAGGCCTAAAAACCAAGACACCAATATTTTTTCTCTTGTTGGGATGTGTAATCTATAAGAACTGATATGGATAACAAATAAAATGTGCCTCAGTGATGTGTGTAAATTATATTGTCCTATCGGTAGGAAGACGTCAGAAAGTGAATTATCCATTGCTGCGACTGTGTAGAACAAGGATGAATAGTTTGTAGCTTCCAGATGTTGTTCAAGTGCAACTGTCCTCAGTCATCACCATTGGTTGTGCTGGCTAGGACAACTCCAGCAACATCTGGAGACCACAGGTCTCTCTTTGGTGTGAAGCACCAATAGTCTGAAGGTATGGAGGTGTATACAGGAATCTTATACATGTTGCTAATATGGTAGTTTGACAGGTGAGTAAATGGGATTCTACAAAGATACCAGTTGGCAACTGGGTTCTGAAACTGACCAATATTTTTGTAACCTTGCAATCTCTTATCTTCTAGCTTAACTTTCTTGCTTCTTTCTCCCTATCTTGACTTGTGTCTAAGGCTATCAAACTTGGCAAAAAGTGCATTGGTGATGTTAATGAACCCAATTAAATCTACACTAAAACATATGAAATTACTTATATACTCATATATACCCGAGTATAATCCGACTCAAATATAAGCCGAGGCACCTCATTTTACCACAAAAACCTGGGAAAATGTATTGACTCGTGTATAAGCCAAGGGTGGGAAATGCAGCTGCTACTGGTAAATTTCAAAATAAAAATAGATACCTATAACATTACATTAATTGAGGGACCAGTAGGTTAAATATTTTGAATACTTACATAAAACCATAATTTAAGATAAGACTTTCCAAATCTGATCAAATCATTATTCTAACCTTCTATGTAAATGTGCTTACATAATCACCATAGTTTATTTTAACTATACATTTTGAGGGAAATGCTGTGTGTATATGAATAAGGAAAAGTGGGGGAAAGGAAGGAGAACTGAGTTGCCGTGTGGAGAGGTGAGGGTCCTGGCAGGAAGGCATGGGGATGAATGAAGCCCTTTCTTTCAGCCCCATGCCTTCCCGCCAGGACCATTACCTGAGTATAAGCTGAAGGGGGCTTTTTCAGCCTAAAAAAAGTGCTGAAAAACTAGGCTTATACTTGAGTATATACAGTAAGTTATAGCCCGCCCCTTTGTGTGCACCCAGACTTTCAAGCTTATATACCATCTATGCCAGTCCTTATCAGCTTAAATGGCTCCATCCACAAACAGGGGCAAGGTATCAGCAGACCTGGGGAATCCCAAAGTTTAAAAAACTTTTTTTTCAGCTTTAGAGAATTCACTCTAGGATTGAGGATCTGAAACATATCAATGAGTACTGAGCTGTCTTTTGTCAGATAAGGTGAAATCATGGGCAGAGAGCATGGAGAAATTGCTTTTGGATTAATATAAGTGTATTAAGCGGGCTGGCTGGAGGATTGTAGAATCTGTATTTGAAAAAGAAACTTTTATAAGCCTTAGCTGAAACATGAATAGAGTGGTTTGAGGAACACCTTGGTTGACTGGTTGAAACACTGAATAAGAATACTTTTTTACAGTTCTAGGATGTACAGAACTATTTGTCAGTGATACCTACATAACACTCTTAACAACTGGGTTGGAGGAAGAAGCATGAGACAAATAGGAGAGGACTCTGTCCTTTAGGATAACTCCTATTTGTCAGTATGAGCTCCCATGCTTTAGTGAATTTAGTGAAGTGTATAGTAGAGTTTCGCTTATCCAACATTCTGTATTATCCAACGTAGTCTTTCTTCTGCCCATATCCAATACTGTTTCAATACATTGCAATGTTTTGGTGCTAAATTTGTAAATACAGTAATTACTACATAACGTTACTGTGTATTGAACTACTTTTTCTGTTGTTTTGGTGCTTAATTTGTAAAAGCATAATGTAATTTGATGTTTAGTAGGCTTTTCCTTAATTCCTCCTTACTATCCAACATTTTCGCTTATCCAACATTCTGCCGGCCCATTTATGTTGCATAAGTGAAACTCTACTGTATTTGTTTCTGTGTTAGTCAAGTTACACACTATAGTTAGCATCTACTACTGAAATAATCAGTAGAAATACTAAAATAATCGAGTACTTAATTTATTCAAAAACAGAACACCCCCTCAAAAAAATTCCTAATTTAATGCAGTGCACAGAACTACTAGTAATCCTTTCAAGTGCTACCAGATTTTCACTTCCATGGGATATGAAAAGGAAGAGATTTTTAGCCCTGCAAGATTAAACAATCATTGGGATTTAGAGGCTTAATCTGTTGGTGTTTGTACTGGAATAGCTCACCAAGTCTCCAGCTCTAAGTGCAATTGGATTCAGCATTAGAGCCATTTATGAAAAAAAGAAAAAAGAGAATGCTCCCGAGTAGAAGTGATCTATCTTTTGAAATGTGTTGTGGCGTGAAGCTGTAAAGCTGTCCTACCGCCTGTATTTCTTTCTTTACTGTCTGGCAGGATAACACTGCTGGGGGGGAGGGGGGGTGAGAGAAGGGGGAGTTTTGCTGTACATGAATCCCAGCTATTGTTTGAGACACACGTCTGCTTTAAAGAAGTATCACAAAGAGGACCGTTACTTATTCAGATGCAAAAGCTCCTTCCATCACACAAGACAGCCCATTCAAGTCACATGCCAGAGGTCTCCGCAGAATGGGCTGCTGCAGCTGCTTCGAATCTGCTGTCGAACATTAGAAGCAGTTGGACAAACCTGACAGCAGCCAGCCTCCCGGGCTCCGCAGAAGACAGGCAAAAGATCTGGGAACCCAGCACAATGTTTGCCGAGGAGCTGTGGCTGGAAAATGAGAAAGCTTGCACCGTGGTTCACAAATCTAAGCGAGGAAGGAAGCGCCAAGAGCTGCTGGCAGTGGCACTGGGGGTTAAGATGGGAGTCAAAGGGGCACTTTTGTGGCAACCTCTGAAACTCTTTGCCTATTCACAGATCACATCTTTGGTCCGGAGAGCTGCGTTAACACAAAATGACAACTATTTCAACTATGAAAAAGCACATAACTTTAAGGTAAGAACATCTTATTGACTCCAAGCTGGTGTGTATATATATGTTTTGTTTAAACTCATGTTTTGTTGTTCTTTCTTTTACCTACCCCCAATCCATCTAATATGAAATAATAATGTCTTGCATAATGTATTATAACATTTGTTTAAAACTTTGTGGTACAAATAAAAGATCCAAAAGAAAAAGAATGTGGAAAGAGAAAGAGAATTCAGTTATTTTTGAAGGCTTTCATGACCGGAATCACTGGGTTGTTGTGAGTTTTCTGTGCTGTTTGGCTATGTTCCAGAAGCATTCTCTCCTGATGTTGCGCCTGCATCAATGGCAGGCATCCTTAGAGGTTGTGAGGTTTGGTGGAAACTAGGAAAATGGGGTTTATATGTCTGTGGAATGTCCAGGATGGGAGAAAGAACTCTTGTCTTTTTGAGCTAGGTGTGAATGTTTCAACTGGCTACCTTGATTAGCATTTAATGGCCTAACAGTTTCAAGGTTTGGCTTCTTACTGCCTGGGGAAATCCTTTGTTGGGAGATGATTAGCTAGAACCAATTGTTTCTTGTCCAGAATTCTCCTGTTTTGAGTGTTGTTCTTTATTTACTGTTATGGTTTTAGAGTTGTTTTAAATTCTGGCAGCAGGATTTTGTTCATTTTCAAGGTTGTGAGCCTTTCACCAAACCTCACAACCTCTGAGGATGCCTGCCATAGATGCAGGCAAAACGTCAGGAGAGAATGCTTCAGAGACATGGCCATACAGCCCGGAAAACTCACAACAACCCAGAATGCAATTACTTAGGATCAGTAGATCTCACTGAAATATGGGCTCCATTCCTGCTCCTGATGTCCTTAAATTTCATTGAAAACAATGGTGTTGTTTACTAAACATACATGGATGTAAATAAGTCTAATTGAAAACCATTTCTTAGTAAGCATGGTAGCTGGACACAGGACAGGAGATCTGTATTTGTAAGCAAAATCCTTTGATTTATGATCCGTCTATAACATAAGCAATTGTAACATGATTTACAGTCGAAATTTGGTAAGAATGTCTCTGCCCAGTCTTTAGTTTTGCTTGCAATTGTAAGCTCTCGTGATATTCATTCATTTCAAACCAAAAGGTTGTGGGATGTGATACCAACAGAGTGATGTAGTGTGATTGTCTAGTATTTTTAATTGGGTTCCATGTGCAAATAAAAGTATTCTCCAGAATCCTGCTCAACTGGCTCTTGGAGAAAGATTTTTCTCCTGCTTGTCTAATATTTGAAGCTATTACATGTACGAGGAGGCTTCCATGGTGCTGGCTTATCTCTACGGAGATCCTTTCTCTCCTTCCCGGCAATTGTGGAGATGATGTGTTTGCTTATAGGAGGTGACTCATTCTTAAAAGCCTGGCTTCCAGGCATCTTGATCTATGTCTTTGTGGGAAGTGCTGCATTTGTTCTGGATGGAGACATTCTGGAAAGACCACAGTTCATTCTCAGTATCCAAAGTCCTATTCGCTGTGCTTCATACATGGGCAGAAAACAATCCTCTGTGATTTTTTTTTCATGTCAGGAGTGACTTGAGAAACTACAAGTCGCTTCTGGTGTCAGAAAATTGGCCGTCAGCAAGGACGTTGCCCAGGGTATGCCTGTATGTTTTAATGTTTTACCATCCTTGTGGGAGGCTTCTCTCATATCCCTGCATGGGGAGCTGGAGCTGACAGAGGGAGCTCATCCGCACGCTCCCGGATTTGAACCTACAACCTGTCGGTCTTCAGTCCTGCCAGCCCAAGGGTTTAACCCATTGCGCCACCAGGGGTTCCAATCCTCTGTGATCATAAGGGCACATGTTCTGCTTTAACACTTGCTTTGTCAGAAAATTATAGCTATGTTTATTCAATTATTCAAAAGCAACCCAACTTCTAGTAATATTCAGGGGTAATTAAATAAAAAGAATTAAGGATATTTCACAAAGAGGTGTGTGTGTATGTGTGTGTTGAAATTACAGTGCATTTCTAACTGGGACAGACAGTGGCTATTACAGAGCGCATTGTGAGAAAATGGTATTTTAACATGGATATATTTGTCTGTCATCTACAAATCCAAGAAGAATTGGGTTGCTGTGAGTTTTTCCGGGCTGTATGGCCATGTTCCAGAAGCATTCTCTCCTGACGTTTCGACCACATCTATGGCAAGCATCCTCAGAGATTGTGAGGTCTGTTGGAAACAAGGCAAGTGGGGTTTATATATCTGTGGAATGCCCAGGGTGGGAGAAAGAACTCTTGTCTGCTTGAGGCAAGTATGAATGTTGCAACTGGCTACCTTGATTGGCATTGAAAGGCCTTGCAACTTCAAAGCCTGGCTGCTTGCTGCTTGGGGGGCATCCTTTGTTGGGAGGTGTTAGCTAGCCCTGATTGATTCTTGTCTGGAATTCCCCTGTTTTTTGAGTGTTGCTTTTTACTGTTCTGATTTTAGAGGGGTTTTTTTTAATACTGGTGGCCAGATTGTGTTCATTTTCATGCAGACATGAGTCTTTTCTCCCACCCTGGACATTCCACAGATATATAAGCCTCACTTGCCTAGTTTCCAACAGACCTCACAACCTCTGAGGATGCCTGTCATAGATGTGGGCAAAACATCAGGAGAGAATGCTTCTGGAACATGGCCTGGAAAACTCACATAAACCCAGTGATTTCAGCCATGAAAGTCTTAAAAACACATCCAACAAGAATTATTTAGCAAATGCCTTCTCTTTTAGTTCATCTCCAGTCATCTAACCAGAACACCAAGAGGTATTTTTTTTTTTAGTCTTTCCCTTGGGCTATATAAAACATGTAGAATTAAATGTTTAAATGTTGCCCAAGAATCTCTTGCGGCCTTTTATCATAAAGCCAGTGCTTTTTCCAAAGGGAAAAGGAGACTCTTCTTTCTCTCTTCCTTGAAAGCATCCCTAACAATGTTCAGATTTCCCCCTAGTCATCATTTTATATGAAAAATGATTTCACTTTAGCCAGAAAATATTTTCTCATGACTTGGGGCATATTTTCCACGCTGACCTATACATTCTTGCTTTCCCCTTCAAAATTCCCCTTCTTTGGTCTTTGATTTAAAATTGGATGTGTGCCCAGAACCTTTTATTTGTTCACTCTGACTGTTCTACATACCCTCTTGCTTCCTGTTTGAAAAGAGCTATAATTTAGCTGGTAAATCATATGATTCATTTTCCAAACTTTAGATGCATGACTTCAGAACTGGATGTTTAGGGATTTTTTTTAAATGCCTAATGTGGATTTTAAGAAGTACTTTGAATATCTGAAAAGATTAAGAAAATTGTACATTGAAACAAATGCCTGTTCAGTGTACAAAAACACAATCTGATATAATACCTATATACTAAAATTGTGCAAATTATTTTGCCAATATAAAAAATTCTCAAGATTTGAATATTGTTGTATAATATTTATTGAGTCTCTTTGGGGATAAAGGACGAGTTATAAATAAAGTTTTATTAGTAAAGGTAAAGGTTTCCCCTTGACATTAAGTCTAGTCGTGTCCGACTCTGGGGGGTGGTGCTCATCTCCATTTCTAAGCTGAAGAGCCGGCATTGTCTGTAGACACCTTCAAGGTCATGTGGCCAACATGACTACATGGAGTGCTGTTATCTTCCCGCAGAAGCGGTATCCATTGATCTACTCACATTTGCATGTTTTCAAACTGCTAGGTTGGCAGAAGCTGGGGCTAACAGTGGGAGCTCTCCCCGCTCCCTTTCGGTCAGCAAGCTCAGCAGCTCAGCTGTTTAACCTGCTACGCCACCAGTTTTATTACATTATTATAATTTATGCCCATTTTTGCAATGCATTTTTGGTACTAAAGAGAGATCTCAAGAAAGCAGAATAAGACCGTCACAAATACAACAGAATAATTCAGAATGAAAGGAACTACTGAAAGCTCATCAAAATGGCAATATTTAATAAAAACGCATGCTAAAGTAAATCTGTCAATGATGATGATGATGATAACAACAACAACAACAACAACTTTATTTTTATACCCTGCCAACCATCTCCCCATGCGGACTCGGGGTGACTTATAAGGGACAAACCCAAAATTACAAACACAACCAATTAAAAACATCAGATAAAATATAAAAACAATCACAATCGTAAACAACATCAAAACAATATGGCTGAGAAAAAGAAGTTGAGGTACAGACTCACTGAGTGCAATACATTCTGACGGGAGCGCAAGGAAAGTGCAACCATCAAGTAGGCAGGGCTGGAAATACTGTCATCAAAAGTGTTCAGGTAGACAATAAGAGGGCCAACGTAAAGTGCTGAACTTAAAGTAGGGACAGGAAAATTACTGGTGGACTGCTTAATCAAAAGCACACCAGAACATTCAGGTTTTTAGTTGTCTCCGGAAAGAGGAAAAAGTGGAAGCCTGTCTGATCTCCCTAGGGAGGGAGTTCCAGAGCCAGGGGGCCACCACAGAGAAGGCACTCTCCCTCGTCCCCACCAACCTGCATGAGACGGCGGAGGGAGAGAGAGCAGTGCCTCCCCAGAAGATCTCAAGGTACGCACTGGTTCATAGGGGAAGATGTGAGCGTGGAGATACACTGGACCCAAACTGTTTAGGGCTTTATAGGTGATAACCTGCAGCTTGAATTGGGACCGGAAACTTATTGGAAGCCATCATTATTTATTTATTTGATCAGTCATATTACCATTTCAAAATATAATACAAGTTTAAAAAAAGGCAAACGGAGTGGGCCATTGCTTTCTGTCTACAGGGACTGATCCACAACCTTTGTGCCACAACTAAAAAGGCCCTTGAATTCATTCCCCTTCTTGTTTTCAGACAATACGCAGAAACCATAGGGACATCTATAACATTGGCCAACCCCCCAAAAATCTTGCTGTCTTGATTTTTGGGCCTGTTCCTGCGCTTATTTGATGTGCAGGTTCAGCAAATTGGGTAGATTGCATCACCTCTAGATATTGGCAAACAGATGGTGACAGGTAGATGGCACT